GCCAGGGAGAAGGGCAGGACAGCGGCACATGTTACGTATCATGCTTTTTTCCCCGGTTCCTCTTTGATGTGTTTCTACCACATCACCCTAAAAATCACTTCCCATGTAATTTTTTTTTTTTTTCCTTTTTAAATACAACTCATAAATGCTAGCTGTCCTTCCCAGCATTCTCCTCCTTCCATCGCAGGATCTCGTCACAGGGCCAATCTCCCACAGGATCCTGCAATCGAGCGATACCTACAAACGGCGCTTCACTTACCCCAGCAGCACAGGCAACGGGCAGCAGTGGCTCCCATGTGGCTCCCGCGGCGGGGCCCCCGCGGCTCCAGCGGTGGCTCCAGCAGCAGCCAGCCCCAACCACATACCAGCTCCTCACCAGTTCTGCAGGCCCCGCTTCCTGCCTGCCCTTTCAGCTCCCAGCATCACCCTAATTGGCCCAACCTGTGCCCCTTCCCAATTCCCCCCACCTGGGGACAGAAGGACCCTCCCTGCCCACAGCCCCTGCCTCCCAGCCATTTCGCGAACACGGACACAGTTCCCTGAGCAGTAGGGCCTGGCGGTGACTGAAGGAGGGAGTTTTATTTCCTTTTTCCAGGTTTTCAGCTCCTTTTGCCATTGCTCAAGCCCCAGCACCTTTGGAAAAAGTAGTTAAACCCAAACCCCAGGCTGAGAATCGCTCTACTGGTGGCGCCGAAGTGCCTCAAAGCACCTGAAACCTTCCCAAAAAAAGAAGAGGAACAGGGAAATATCTGGCAACCGCAAAGGCAGGCTGGAGATTCACAGGTCCCCTGCCCAGCCGCGAGCTCTCGCCCCCGCCGGCAGCGCAGAGGCGAAGGGGCGCAGCACGCTCCACCTTCGTGGTGCCCAAACCCTGAATATCGGCTCCGACATTCAAAGGAGCTCTCATCGGATCCCTTCTGTAACTCCCCTTTAGCGTCCGATCAACTCCTCGAGAGGACGCAAGGTGCCTTCTTCGAAGGCTGCCACAGCCCCGTTGGAAACAGGAGGCTAAAAAATGACTCGGGCAAGGTTTTTCTTGCTCTTCCTGTTTCTGAGAAGCCTTCGGGAGATGCCAAAATGGCATTCACAAGACAGAACGGACAAGGGAATACAATGCAAAAGGGTTTTTTTTCTTTTTCCTTGCGTTTTATTGAAAATGAGAAATATCAATCGCAAAAATCATCCAGTTGCGCTCAAGCGCTGGACCTTGATCCCATCGATGGGTTAGCCAGGCAGCAAAGGACACAAACGTGATCACCAAAAAACAACACTCAGAGGCCGAGCGCAGGGCTGCGTCGCGGCGAGCTAGGGGTGCTCTCCTCCGCGAGCACCAAGGCTCCAGGCCGGCACGTGCCGCGGCAAAGGGGCTTCCTTCGCACGTCCCGGCTCCGTCCCCAGCGTCTCCCATCAGTGTGAGGGAGTCCCTTCATGTTTTCTCTCCCTTTCACAGCCCCGACTGCATTCACAGATCACGTTTCTCAAGACAAACATCTTGACAGAGATAAATGCCACCGCAGGTTTCAGCCAGCTGCAGGGAGCTCGGGGCTTGCACGTCATTTGCAGGTGAAGAAGAATTTTTTACGGAGAAAGTTGAAACAGCCCGGGATCTGCTTGTACCTCCCCTTGGCAGAGACGGCGTTTGCCACCTGAGAACAGGAGGAGAGCAGGTGAGGAGCAGGACATTTCTGATCTCTCATGGGAGGCACGGTGGCAAGGACGGGGAGTGGGACCAGCGGACAGTTCTTCTAAAAAGAGACATTTTTTCTGGCAAAAACAAAGGGAGCTCGAGGGAAAACGGCCTTTTGAGAAACCTCGGCCGTACCAGGTGCCGCTGCCACTGGCGGGCGCTCCTCCGCCTAAGCCACAACGCCCTCCTTCCCGCTGGGTGTCTCCTCCGAAGCGCATTCCCTCCCCACTCATTTTCTTCCAGCCGTGCCCATCGTTTCCCCAGGGTCGCCCTCCTTGCACTGGACACCAGCCGGCGGAGACACGGTCTCGTGCTACTCCCTCAAAGTCAACAGCTGCCGTGCCGCAACAGGCCAAAGAAGCACCGTGACATCAGGAAAATGACCCAAAAAAGCCAGAGTAGGTGCCCTCTCCTGCACTGCCTCCCCAAAAGGCTCTTCTCCTACTCACAGGAAGAGCAGAAGTGTCTGGAGGTACCTACGCTTGTCCCACATGTGGGCAATCTGCTCTACTGAACAGGGCACGCAAAGGAAAACATTTATTAGCCACGCTGCTTCCATGTTCCCAGCTCGTCGCACTCCTCGCTCACCAGGACACGTGAACGCAAACATCTGGCATCGGCTCCCCGAGGGCGAGATGCTCCTCAAGACTTAACACGGTGTCACAGGAGCTCCGGAGAGCAAGCACCACAGAGATGTCCAGGCACGAGAGACCCAGCGGGTCCCTCCTCAAGAGTGCGCTCTGCCCCGACGCGTGGCAGCACGCTTACGACAGTGCCCCCAGTCCCGTTGGCTCGCGCTCTGGAGGACAGGACAAGCTGTGGGATTTTTTAGTGGCTTCCCCAGCAAAGATTAAAGCCTGGCTGTTCAGGATTACTTCTCGCTAGAGAAACCTCGAGGTGAGTTTTGGCAGATTGAGGCCAGACACTTTCTTCGAAGTTAGACCTCTCCGCCGCACCTCCAATTAGCCAACCCATAAACTAAACGCTCAACATCAACATTCCTTTTTTAAGTGCAGGCCTCCACACCCCGTGCCACTGGGGCTCTGACCATTTCATCATGACGACACAAATGGGGAAGAAAAAAAAAAGCGCCGTTTACCCGTAGTAACATGTTGAGCAGGTCTTCCGAAGGGGCATACCGCTCCAGCACGCTGTCCAGCGTTTCCACGTACCACGAGCCACTCGACACCTCCCTCCAGGAGACAAAACCTTCAGGGAAAG